GGAGGAGGCAGAGGTGGCGGAGGAGGAGGAGGCGGCGGCCGCGGCCCCTCCGGGCGCGCAGAGGCGCAGGCAGAGGGCGCTTTCGCCATGCGCGGCCGCCGCCGCCGCCGCGCAGCCCCGGGCGCCGCGCACCCCCCGGCCGCGCCGCCGCTGACAGGCGTCCGCAAGCGCGGCGGGCGGAGCGCAGCGCAGCGCGGCGGGGCCCCTCGGCACCGAGCGCCCGGCACCGAGCCCCCGGCACCGAGCCCCCGGCACCGAGCCCCCGGCACCGAGCCCCCGGCCCGGCCCGCGCGAAGCGATCGCCCCGGCTGCGACCGGCCGCCCGGTCCCGCTCTGCTGCTCCCTGGCTCTCTCTCTCCCTCCTTCCCTTCCCTCCTCCTCCTCTCTGCGCTTTCCACCTCCCCTGCTCCTGAGTGAGCGCAGCCTCGGATGTCCGGTTTCCTGGTGGGTTTTTTACCTGGCAAACTCTGGATAACTTTGGCGAGAATTTGCAAAGCGGCTGGGAAAGTTGGGAACTCCCCTGCAGGCGCATAGGAGCTGCTGCTACCGCATCTTCTCCATCCCACGGATTTTACTGCCTTGGATATTGCGAGGGGAGGGAGGGGGGAGAGGACAGCGAAAGAAGGGGGGGAGAGGAAAAGAAGGAGCCTGATAATTTCGGCTACATTCCTCCGACTGCCCCGCGGCCCCGCTCCGCGCCCGCTCTGCCATCCCTGCACCATGCACTTGCTGGAGGTGCTCTCCCTGGGCTGCTGCCTGGCTGCCGGCGCCGTGCTCCTGGGACCCCGGCAGCCGGCCGCTGCCGCCGCCTACGAGTCCGGCCAGGGCTACTACGAGGAGGAGCCCGATGCGGGGGAGGCAAAGGTAAGCCCGTGCCCCCGCTGTAGATGCCAGTTCCTCTGGGCATGTGTCTGCGAGTCCCTTTGAACGGACGGCTTGGGAGTTCCACCGAGGAAAAGCTGTGGGAGAAGGCTTTTAAAATAGGGGGGGGTTCCTTAAAGTGAGGGAAGGAAATTTTTTTAAAGTATCTGAGTTTTCGGGGTTGCTGGAGGGCGGGCTGCACGGGGAACAACTGCGTTTGCACAGGGACGCGCAACACCTGATGAGCAGAGGCAGTCCGCGGGCTGCGCTTCGGCCGTGGAGCGGGGACTGCCCGGCCGGGAGCGATCCCGATCCCGATCCCGATCCCGATCCCGGCCCCGGCCCCGCCGCGGGCAGCGGCCCTTGGGCTGCGGCCGATGCCCCCGGGCAGCTGGGGCGCGCCCCGCAGGCGCCTCCGAGCGGGGTCCTGCGCTGGGAGCGCGGAGGGAGGGCGGGCTGAGAAGCGCTCGGGGGAGCAGCTGGGCACAAGAACGAAGCGGAGACGTGGGAGGACGATGACAGCAAAACCCTATACTTCCCATTTGTTGAGAAGTCTCTTGGAGTTACTGACGCTTTGGGTGAGCTGCTGCTGCGTGACGGAGTTGATGGGATGTGTAAGGTGACACTCCAGTCTGAAAACCTTAGTTCTGCCCAGACGCATGGTGAAAGTTGGGCTTAAATTCTCGGATTCCAGACACAAATACTTAAAATTCTCGGTTAATTTTTGTTTTCATATTAAGTTTCGTAACATAAAACTCAAGTACCTTTGGTACTTGTGGTTATGCAGTTCCTGGTATGCTGATGCATAAAAAAGATGCATAGTATGTGGTTGTATAAGCATGGCATTGTAAAGAAGACCTTTGATGTCTGTCTTACCCTCATCTCATTGTTTTGAAGATTTCTGACATACTTATTAAAGGAATCATGACCTAGCTCATTCATTATTCATTTCAGTATGGGGCAGGGAGGGAGTTTTGTGAATTAAAATTTAAATTAATATTCAGATTTTTTTCTCTCCTATGCTATTTTCTTAAGTGATTAAGAGTTTGGGAGGTTTTACTGTAACTACCTAGGAAATCAAGTTTTGATAGTATATATTAGCTGCACTTCAGGTGTGCAAACTGTTGTACACAGAAGTCATACTATACTTTTCAAATAGTAATCTGCATGGAAAAGTTTATGATTATACTGCAGTCTCTCTTAAAATATTTTAACTACAACTCAATGCTTACATTGCAATATTCTGAATGCTAATGTGCTATCAGTGATCATATTGCTTAAAAGTGTATAAAGTGTTTATCCCAGTTTATATTTTAAAGTAGAAACTGTAAGCCACTCTTACTGCTTAGACTATTTATAAAAATTAAAAAAAAAAAAAAAAGAAAGAAAGTCAAAACTTAGTGGAGGGTAAAAATACCTCAACTCCTTCCAACCCATGACTGTAAGTCAGTTATTTACTGGGTGAAACTGGCATTTGAGTTGTAAAGCCTTGGAATACCTTATGCTGGAAAGGTAGAAAGAATCCAAACTGGAGCAGAGCACATACTTTATGTACTTAGACTGCTGAGGTAGAACAGCTGATAGTGAAGGTACTCTCCTCAGTGATGCTTTTGCGTTTCCGTGCATATGGTGTGGAAAGTTACTCTGTTTCTTGAAGGAACCTCGAAGTCTTTGGGAGCTGCCACTGTAGTGCATTGTGTATAAGTGCAAGTGCTCCCTGGAAAAAGAGGAACTGTCAGCAAACCAAAGGAAGAAAAGGTCAAGAGACCAGGGAGTGGGATAGCATGTGTTAAGCGATTACATTAATAGGAAAACGCTTTTGTGCCTGACTGCTGCTGAGTAGTAAGTAGAGAAAGATTCTGGATCCAAGCAGACTTAGTTATGTTGGAAGTCTTTACTTATGAGTTTGTTGCTTTTGCTGGAACTGTTTGAGTGAGTGAGTACTGCACATATTTGTTTCTGTGAATGTCAAGATGATATCTTAGGTAATTATGAAAGGATTAAATAAGTAAACTGCAAATAATTGTTTCAAGGAAAATATCATTGCCAGTAAAAAGTCAACTGCTTGAACTTCGTTAACTTCAAAGAAGTTCATAGATGTTATGTTTTTATTTCCCATCAAGGTGCCATGCTGCTGCATGTTAAACTGATGCCTAAGTGCAGGTCATACAGGCCATTAGGTCAGCTCTTCATGCCATGTATTTATTTCTCTTCATTCCTATTTCAAGAGCTTTAGCTTTAGAAAGCATTTTAAAAAGTGTGAATGAAGTTGGGGCTCCTCCAACATAGGAGGAAAAGCTGGCCAGAAAATAGGGGTATTGTGTTTTTAAGCAGGTAATTTTCACATATTAAACTTGTCTAGAGATTTGCAGGAACTTGGAAGTGTTACAGATATTAATAGTAGTAGTTCTTCCTACACAGCTCTTGCAAGGGCATGTTCTGCAGCAAGTGGGCACTGATAAGCTTGTGTAACACTGCCTCATCCCTCTCCACTCCTAACCCCCACCCCTACCTTTTTTTGCTTTTTTTCTTTTCAGCCTAAGGGTAAGATTCGTTATTTGACAAGCTTTCAGGGCCCAGATTAATGCTTTTCAGCTGAACTGTCAGCTCAGTGGGATGGGAATGAGCCCAGCCCGTAAATCACCTCTTGCGGATTTCCTGCAGCACAGGGGGCTGTCCCCAGGAGCCGACCCCCTCGCAGCCGCAGCCCGCCTCTCCCGGCGGGGCAGGAGGACGGGCGGCCCTGGCCTCTCCCCGCCTGGGTGGCTTCTTGCGGAACCTGGCACTTCAGTTGCCTCTGTGCTCAGGGCGGGCCCGGGGGAATCAGCCCTCCTGCCCCAGATTTCACGCCCTTTGGCAGAGACCCGCCGCCCCGCAGGGATGCTCGGAGCAGCTGCAGCAAGGGCAGGGTGAGCTGTTTTGCCACACCGGTGGCTTGAAGCTTTAGCTTCTCCTACTGTCTTTGAGTGTTTTAATAACTCTTATGTTTGTTCTCTGGCTTTTGTTCTTTTTTGTGGTTTTCAATAGGGAATGTGGGGTGAATATACACTGTCTACCTGGGAGAGTGTTATTTTAAAGAAATAAAGAATGCCTTATTGTTTGTTTGCTGAAAGTTTAAAAATGAACTGAAGGAACTACGTGGGTATTCCATGCAGGAATTAAACTTCTTAGGTCATTGAAATAAAGGTGTGTCAGCAGCATGTACCTAGACTCCATTAATGGCAATGAGGTAACAATAGCAGGAATAGGTTATTATGGTAACAATACCTGGAATGAAACTACATAGTTGGCAGGGTTTGCAATAGCTGCACCATCATTTTGTTGCATAGTCTTTAGAATTATGTGACTATGAAAAAGCAATATTGATCAATTGTGCCATGTAGTTTGAAAAGGTTTAAAACTATATTTATGCAAAAATGTTTGGTTTTGTATCAGAATGGGAATAGCAAATGAAAACATATTTTCCTATTCTGAAGCACATCAGAAAATTTCACTGGGGCCTCTTTACATAGACAGCAATAAAGTACAGAACAGTTTGTACTATGATTCTTGATTTAGGGTTTTTTGCAATGTAAATACTTGTGCTTACTTGAGCTTCATTTTTATTGGATGGTACCTGAGATGTACCTTTTTAATTTAATTATTATAAAATTATTTTAAAACTGACCTAATCATACAGTGCTGCTCATTGATGGCTAACAGAGTTTAATACAGTGTGTTGGTTTCCTGCTGTCACTGTATCTCCATGGTACGATCTCAGACCCATCACTTTTATGGTCACCCGTAAGTTTACCAAGAGCCTTACTCCGTGTTCCATGCACAGGTGAGAGATGAGGCTGCCTTGCCTGTTCTGAAAACAAGCACACACCTCACTCCCCGTAGTTAAGCAGGGCTGAGCATGTAGGGAGAAAGATATTTTTTCCTGCTGCTGCTGTTTAATCTCCTGCAAATTTTGTCATGTGTATGTTTGTAGCCACTCTCTTTTCAGACACATGAACAAAAAAAAGATGCTTTTTTTTTTTTTAGAACCGTTATTTGCAGCAGATGCAACGGGATGAACATTGTTAGTAATAATTATTTTAAAGACTAAGCAATGCTTCTGCAAACATAGATATTAAACTTTGGTCTGGCCTTTTATATGACTAAAGTACAGTACTAAGCTCAAAGAGATCACTGCACTTTCTAGTTCTTGGAGTGCATTCCTGACTAGTTTAAGCACACTAGTGTGCCTGGGAGGGACTTCAGCTGTTTGTCTGCAGTAATCCCATGCATTTATGAAGGTTATAAAAAAACTGTGGAGGTCATTTTAACTGCAGTGTTTAGAGGCATACAGAAGCATCCCAACAAAAGCATTATTTTTATGCTCACTTAGGTTGTGTGTATTCTAAGTCTTGCCTATTTTTCAAGGGTGTGTGTCCACTTCTTTTAGTAAAAATAAACAATGACTTAGACTTCAGACTGTTGTAGCTGAGGGTGGTCGTAATAATAGTCTTCCATTGATACCCTGCATCCAGGATAGAAGTCTGTTAAAAACCTTGTGTTCTGCTGCTGCTTTTTTAAATGTGGTCAGTGATTCATTAAAAAAAAAAAAACAAAAACCCTTGGAAAAAAAGGGAATCCAACTAAAGTCACACTGGTTTCTTATCAAATGTAATATCCTGTTTAATGTAAAAAAAATATGTTACAGCTGTTTGTAGAATGAATTATAAGACATTCTAAACAAGATTGTCCCTGAAAGTTGCAAGTTCTTTTATAGACTAAGTTGCTTCTTAGGAGTTTTGTTTGTACTAAATTTTGCTTAGTGAGTAGGATAGATATAATTATTTTCCTTATCTATTATACATGTTTATTACTTTTTAAATTTCACCTTGGTTCTATTCAGAGTGATAATGTAATACCAAATTCTCCTACATGTAAATGTGTTATCTACTTCAAATAAACTAATGGCTGCATAAATTGCACCAGAATTTTAATCTAAAACATTGATAACTTACAGAAGCATG